AGACGTACAAGCTCAAGCTGTGCTCCAAAGCAGATCCAAGAATCTGAACCATCTCCTGAAAATAAGGTAAGCTCACCACCTCCCTTATACCCTATAAATAACTCTATATCCTTCAACAACTTCTCATCATTACACAAATTTTTTTGTTACATTAGAAGATATCCATATTCCTAAAGTTATTTATGAGGCCTTATCTGATAAAAATTGGAAAAATGCCATGAAGGATGAAATGCAGGCCCTGGAGAAGAACAAAATGTGGGAGATCGTCAATCTACCGATAGGGAAAAAATCGGTCGGCTGCAAATTGATGTTCTCAGTGAAATACAAAGCTGATGGCACACTAGAGAGATATAAGGCAAGATTGGTGGCAAAAGGGTTCACTCAAACATATGACATTGACTACCAAAAAATGTTTGCACCTGTAGCCAAAATGAATACTGTCCGAATACTACTCTCACTAGCAGCAAAGTACAACTGGCATCTGGAACAATTGGATGTGAAAAATGCATTCCTGCATGGAGATTTAGAAGAAGAGATATTTATGGAAATACTACCAGGGTTTAAAGAAAAATCTGAAGGTAACAAGGTGTGCAAACTGAAAAAAGCTCTATATGGGTTCAAACAATCACCAAGGGCCTGGTTCGAAAGATTCTCTAAATTCAAGCTCCTAAATGGGCATCGACAAAGTCAAGGGGATCATACATTATTCTTCAAACATTTAGACTCAGGGGGAGTCACAATATTATTAGTGTACGTTGATGACATTATTTTGACTGGAGATAATATAGAGGAGAAAGACAGTTTAAGGAAAAGTCTTACTACGGAATTTGACATCAAAGAACTTGGTAGACTAAAATACTTCCTCGGAATTGAAGTAGCTCACTCCAGCAAAGGAATCTTCATTTCACAACAGAAATACATCAAAGATCTTTTAAAAGAAATAGGTAAACTAGCTTGTAAACCAGCACCGACACCAGTAGAACCTAATCTTAAATTGGGGGAAGCTAAAGAAGATCCAGATGTAGATAAAGGGACCTACCAGAGACTTATAGGGAAATTGATCTACCTCTCCCACACTAGACCAAACATAGCATTTGTTGTAAGCATGGTCAGTAGTTTATGCAGAATCCAAAGCAGATTCACATGCAAGCGGTAGACAGGATATTACACTACCTAAAAGGAAGATCAGGAAAAGGAATTCTCTTTAAGAGAGATCAAAGAATAACCTTAGAAGTATTCACGGATGCTGACTATGCAGGATCACCGGTTGATAGAAGATCTACCTCTGGGTATTGCACATTTCTTGGAGGCAACTTAGTTACATGGAGAAGCAAGAAACAGAATATGGTGGCAAGATCTAGTGCAGAAGCAGAATATCGAGCTATGGCCTTGGGAATATGTGAGCTACTATGGATTAAAATAATCCTAGAAGACTTAAAGGTTAAGTGGGATGAGCCCATGAAGCTACATTGTGACAAGAAATCAGCAATCAGCATAACCCACAATCCAGTCCAGCATGATAGGACCAAGCACATAGAAGTGGACAGACATTTTATTAAAGAAAAACTAGACAGTGGTCTAGTAAGTGTCGACCATGTATCATCAAATGATCAACTTGCAGATATCCTTACTAAAGGATTGGACAGTTCTGCCTTGCTTAGAATGATTGACAAGCTGGGGATGACACATCCATATTTTCCAGCTTGAGGGGGAGTGTTGAAATCCAGCCGTTCCCAGTGCAAAGGATCCGACGGACACAAAGATCAATCCGTGGGATACTCTCATGGATCCCGCCATAATGAAGGAAAGGATTTAGGAAAGATTTTTATGTATTATTTATGTATTAAATCTGCAATTTATTATTTCCTCGTTATGATATCTTGTATAGATCTATAAATAGGGAAGATTGTAATGAATAATTTCAAGCTTTTCCCTCTCAAATTCTCAGTTTTAACAAAACATTCCCCAATCATGTCATTTTGAATTTAATGAGAGATTGACCTTAATTTCCCTGCCCATAATATTAGAGAATCATCTTTTAGATGGTTTGGCCACATAAAAAGTTGGCTTTTTGATGACTTTGTTAGGGGGTTGGATATATTCGATCCGTTCTATGTTAAGAAATGTAGAGATAGACCTAAAAAAGTTGATTAGAAAATGTTAAAAATGATCTTTTTTTTATTAAATTTAAATGAGAGTTTAACTCCTGATAGGGCACAATGGAGAAAAAAGATTTATGTAGCCGACCTCATGTAGTGGGATAAAAATTTGTTGTTGTTGTTGTACACTTTTTATTAAAACTATTATATAGTAAGCTATTTAAAATTTCATCGTTTGGTTGTGTGCTCTAGAGCTCAGCATAGGCTCCAAAACTAACTTTAATTCGGTCATGTTGAGTCTTCATCTCTCTCATTTTCATCTTCATCTTCTATCAGATTAATTTCTGAATTTCTGAATTATATTGCATATGCCTCTATTACATAATCTTGACGCTATCTTTATTAAAACCTCATGTTTTTGTTGCTCACCAGTTACCACATCTTTTCTAATCTTTTCCATGTTTCATCCTGTTGATAATGGCCTCTTATATTCTTAATGCTAGCATCTTTTTAAAATAAATGTTCTATTCACTGACTCCAAATTATACTTGTTCTACTGCACTAAGAAATTTGCCTAATTTTCAGAACTGTGCGTAGTTCACAATGAGAAGACTGTAGTAAACCCAAGAAACGTGATGCTTGCTATGGGCCAATATGTCCAGGACTTCAATTTGATGAGACAACAGGTGGATTCTCTATCCTTTGGATTCCTAATAAATTTAATAAGGATTATGCTGTGCATCCAGAAAACATTTTCTTTTCGTCATATAGGATGCTGCGGAAGCATTCATCCATCTCTTGTCTTCCTTAGAGAAAGAAATCATTGAGCATTTTATTCATTTGCAACATGGTGGATCTCTCGCAGACATCACTGCCTTCTCTTCTAGTAGGATTTACAACCAAGAGAAGGGAACGCCACATGAATTCGAGAAATGGAAGAAGCTTTTTATTGGGCCATTTGATGCAGTTATTGGGAGCTATTTAAGATGCCAAACTTGTTCAAATATGGTAATTGCCTTTCAGAATTCTGTCAGCTCTTTATTTGTTTGACATTCCCTTTCCGCTGTACTTATATCATGTCCAGAAGAAACGCATCAATCTTCTAAGAAATTTGCGCTCTCTGAACATTTTAATTTGCTAAGCAAGGTGCTCTGTCTAGCGCATATATGTTATCTACGTGTATGAAACAATCTCTCATGCATACATAAACAATTATGCACAACCATATGTGAAAAGTCACATAACTGAAGTCACATGTCTAAGGTTTTGTTTGGGACGGCTTTCTCACTGTTTTTTAGAACAGTTTTTTAGTATAAAAGTTAAAATTTTTGTGCTCAAAAACTGCTTTAAGAAACAGTAAAAAGCCATCCCAAACGAATCCTAACTCTTAATTCATTTTCCGTTTGAATAGCTCTTTTTTTTTTCTTTTTTGTTGTATCTTTGACCTGAATGTTTATGTTGTATTGTCAGCTTTCAGTGGATTTGGAGTTATTGCGCTCCTTGCCTCTCTCACCTGTGCTGGATAGAAATGCTGATATTGTATGTCGTAGATGACCCGCTTTTTTTTATGGTTCTGTATGTTTTAGTCCCAACTCCTTGTTCCAGATATTTCTAATTGCCTATCCATGTTTCTTTGCTGAGTTAGATGGAGGGCTGCAGCTTGTTCGATTGCCTTAGGCATTTCACCAAATTGGAGCGTGTTGATGATTATCGCTGTGGTAGATGTTGGCATGCAGCTGCCTTGAAGCAACTCTTTTATAGAACTGAAAAAGATGAGGTGGAGCTTTTATACTCACATGGCCTATTTCTTTGTTATTTACCAGCATCCTTTATATGTTTGTCTTTTACTGAACTGTTTTGGAGATCAGGATTTCCTTGGCTGACTAAATTAAGTGCCATTTTTTCAGGTTAAAATTAAAAAACTCAGCGACTGTGTCAAGTATGATTCTTGTGATTGCAAAAACCTTTTTTGCGATGAAGAAATTTCCTGGACTGGTATTTCACATGCTTTAAAGAAATTAAGTATCATTAAATGTCCGAAGGTATGAGATATGAATGCTTGCAAATTAAGCAAACATTTTAATTTTTCTTAAAATTTAGCGTATCAGTATAGTAGTGTTTTAATTTTGATATAAACTAAATGTTTTTGATGTATTCTAGGTACTTTGCTTTCATTTGCAACGGGCGTCAATGAACTGCTATGGTGAATTGGTCAAGCTTCAGGTATGTTAGATTTATAACTTAATAGACCGGCTTCATTTGGGACGGTTTTATTACTACTTCTTAAAGTAGCTTTTTAATACAAAAATTTTAATTTATATATTAAAAAATTGTTTGAAGAAGCAATAAAAAAGCTATCCCAAACAAAAACATAATTGAATGTTAGTTCCTCGTAAGATTTACGATGTCTGATTACAGGGACATATGTCTTTTCCATTGTTTCTCGACCTTTCTGCATTTGTGGAAACTGCAACAAAATTGGGGCAATTGACTTCTGTAAAATATATGCATAGCAACATGAAGGCACTAGATTGCGCATTGCTCAAGCAACAGGACATGCGGATGCTACAACATTTTTACAGAATGAAAAACTAGACAGTGGTCTAGTAAGTGTCGACCATGTATCATCAAATGATCAACTTGCAGATATCCTTACTAAAGGATTGGACAGTTCTGCCTTGCTTAGAATGATTGACAAGCTGGGGATGACACATCCATATTTTCCAGCTTGAGGGGGAGTGTTGAAATCCAGCCGTTCCCAGTGCAAAGGATCCGACGGACACAAAGATCAATCCGTGGGATACTCTCATGGATCCCGCCATAATGAAGGAAAGGATTTAGGAAAGATTTTTATGTATTATTTATGTATTAAATCTGCAATTTATTATTTCCTCGTTATGATATCTTGTATAGATCTATAAATAGGGAAGATTGTAATGAATAATTTCAAGCTTTTCCCTCTCAAATTCTCAGTTTTAACAAAACCTTCCCCAATCATGCCAGTTTGAATTTAATGGGAGATTGACCTTAATTTCCTCTCCCATAATATTAGAGAATCATCTTTTAGATGGTTTGGCCACATAAAAAGTTGGGTTTTTGATGACTTTGTTAGGGGGTTGGATATATTCGATCCGTTCTATGTTAAGAAATGTAGAGATAGACCTAAAAAAGTTGATTAGAAAATGTTAAAAATGATATTTTTTTTATTAGATTTAAATGAGAGTTTAACTCCTAATAGGGCATAATGGAGAAAAAAGATTTATGTAGCCGACCTCATGTAGTGGGATAAAAATTTGTTGTTTTTGTTGTACTCTTTTTATTAAAACTATTATATAATAAGCTATTTAAAATTTTCTCGTTTGGTTGTGTGCTCTAGAGCTCAGCATAGGCTCCAAAACTAACTTTAATTCGGTCATGTTGAGTCTTCATCTCTCCCATTTTCATCTTCATCTTCTATCAGATTAATTTCTGAATTTCTGAATTATATTGCATATGCCTCTATTACATAATCTTGACGCTATCTTTATTAAAACCTCATGTTTTTATTGCTTACCAGTTACCACATCTTTTCTAATCTTTTCCATGTTTCATCCTGTTAATAATGGCCTCTTATATTCTTAATGCTAGCATCTTTTTAAAATAAATGTTCTATTCACCAACTCAAAATTATACTTGTTCTACTGCACTAAAAAATTTTCCTAATTTTCAGAACTGTGCGTAGTTCACAATGAGAAGACTGTAGTAAACCCAAGAAACGTGATGCTTGCTATGGGCCAATATGTCCAGGACTTCAATTTGATGAGACAACAGGTGGATTCTCTATCCTTTGGATTCCTAATAAATTTAATAAGGATTATGCTGTGCATCCAGAAAACATTTTCTTTTCCTCATATAGGATGCTGCGGAAGCATTCATCCATCTCTTGTCTTCCTTAGAGAAAGAAATCCTTGAGCATTTTATTCATTTGCAACATGGTGGATCTCTGGCAGACATCACTGCCTTCTCTTCTAGTAGGATTTACAACCAAGAGAAGGGAACGCCACATGAATTCGAGAAATGGAAGAAGCTTTTTATTGGGCCATTTGATGTAGTTATTGGGAGCTATTTAAGATGCCAAACTTGTTCAAATATGGTAATTTCCTTTTCAGAATTCTGTCAGCTCTTTATTTGTTTGACATTTCCTTTCCGCTGTACTTATAGCATGCCCAGAAGAAACACATCAATCTTCTAAGCAATTTGCTCTCACTGAACATTATAATTTGCTAAGCAAGGTGCTCTCTCTAGCGCATATATGTTATCTACGTATATGAAACAGTTTCTCATGCATACACAAACAATTATGCACAATCATATGTGAAAAGTCACATAACTGAAGTCACATGTCTAAGGATTCATTTGGGACGTCTTTCTCGCTGTTTTTTAAAAACAGCTTTTTATTATAAAAGTTAAAATTTTTGTGCTAAAAAATTATTTTAACAAGAAGCAAAAAAGCAGTCCCAAATGAAGCCCAACTCTTAAATCATTTTCTGTTTGAATAGCTCTTTTTTGTATCTTTGATCTAAATGTTTATGTTGTATTGTCAGCTTTCTGTGGATTTGGAGTTCTTGCGCTCCTTGCCTCTCTCACCTGTGCTGGATAGACATGCTGATATTGTACGTCACTGATGACCCTCTTTTTTTATGAATCTGTATGTTTTAGTCCCAACTCCTTGTTCCAGATATTTCTAATTGCCTTTCCATGTTTCTTTGCTGAATTAGATGGAGGGCTGCAGCTTGTTCGATTGTCTAAGGCATTTCACCAAATTGGAGCGTGTTGATGATTATCGCTGTGGTAGATGTTGGCATGCAACTGCCTTGAAGCAACTCTCTTATAGAACTGAAAAAGATAAGGTGGTGCTTTTATACTCACATGGCCTCTTTCTTTGTTATTTACCAGCATATCCTTTATATGTTTGTCTTTTACTGAAATGTTTTGGAGACCAGGATTTCCTTGGCTGAGTAAATTAAGTGCCCTTTTTTCAGGTTAAAATTAAAAAACTCAGCGACTGTGTCAAGCATGATTCTTGTGATTGCAAAAACCTTTTTTGCGATGAAGAAATTTCTTGGACTGTTATTTCACATGCTTTAAAGAAATTAAGTATCATTAAATGCCCGAAGGTATGAGATATGAATGCTTGCAAATTAAGCAAACATTTTAATTTTTCTTAAAGTTTACCGTATCAATTTAGTAATGTCTTAATTTTGATATAAACAAAATGTTTTTGATGTATTCTAGGTACTCTGCTTTCATTTGCAACGCGCGTCAATGAACTGCCATGGTGAATTGGTCAAGCTTCAGGTATGTTCAATTTATAACTTAATAGACATATGCTTCGTTTGGGACGGCTTTATTTCTGCTTTTTAAAGAAGCTTTTTCAATACAAAAATTTTAATTTATATATTAAAAAGCTATTTTAAAAAACAGTAAGAAAACAGTTTCAAACAAAGTCATAATTGAATGTTAGTTCCTTGTAAGATTTATGATGTCTGATTACAGGGATATGTATCTTTTCCATTGTTTCTTGACCTTTCTGCATTTGTGGAAACTGCAACAAAATTGGGGCAATTGACTTCTGTAAAATATATGCATAGCAACATGAAGGCACTAGATTGCGCATTGCTCAAGCAACAGGACATGCGGATGCTACAACATTTTTACAGAATGGTTGGTCAAAACCCTTCTGTGGCATCCTTGTCTGAAATTAAGTTAGAAGTACCATCTGGTGAACTTTTAGAAAGTAAACTCTTGGAAGCTGCTTCTGTAGACAACAGTGAGAAGATGGTAACAGAGTTGGCTGCTGATTTAGATCAAACCTGCATCATTCCAGAAAGAGGTTACAGTGAAAAGGTCATAAATCAACTATATCTGTGCAACTCTGCTCTGATCTGTTTTGTAACATTTGCCTTTTCCTTCCAGGTAGGAATCGCAAGATCATCAGCGAGTTGTATGTACCAGCTCCGTTCAGTTGTTGAGCATTACGGAAGGCCTGGCAGTGGACATTATGCAGTTTACAGGAGAATGGAATCTCAATTATCTTTTGGTGCTGCTGGGGAGCTACCAGATTCCATGAATGGATCTTGGGTTTATATTTCTGATACTAAAGTCAAACGTATCAGTTTGGAGGATGTTCTTGCAGCGGAGGCAAGCATGCTTTTTTATGAGAAGGTTGAGGCTGATATTCATGAATCAGAATTCAGAAATCTTACTTAATGGACAACACAAGCTTTTGGCTATACTAAGGTTTGTTTGTGAAAGCTTTTTTGTTACTTTCTAAAGTAGTTTTTTAGTACAAAATTTTTTTTGAAGTTGAAATTTTTGCATTAGAAAGTCGTTTTAAATGTTGTACGGTGTTAATTTGGATTTCATTCAGACAACTATCATTTTAACTCCAAACTGAATACAATTTAACAAACACAATGTGTACTTTAACAATTCAAGTGACACATTGCAACTAACGTTACAAATTTTGTTACAGAATACCACTGACATAACAGACATTTGTAACACAGTACAACCTTAGCTTGACAGTCTTTCATCCACTTTGATAGAAATTGTACAAATCTTTTTCTCTCATTGTCTCTTTGTCTCACTTTACTTCACTCTTCATTCTTAAAACTAACAAAGATATCCATTTTTACATGAAAAAGGGATGCAATCATTTAAGTTAAATATAAGGCCTGACCCCTAGGGTCATGACACTAGGGTTTGGAGTGCCACAGAGCTCTACTCTCTCTCCAGCCCAATGTGCAATGATGCTCCACTCTCTGTTTCTATGTTAGATTACAGCGCCGTCGTGATGCCTATGATGCTACAGTACACGTGTACAGCGTTGCAATGCTCCAATGTAGAATGCCGCGAGACTATACGGTCCCTCTATAACCCCCGGTGAACTTGACCAATAGATTAAGGTCTAAGTCAACATTATAACCCGCCGATGAGCTCGATGGATAGAATTGAGGTCTAAGTCAACATTATAACCCGATTGATCGACACAATCAGATTCCACAAAAACTAACACACTACAGTTGTTTTAATATTTAATTATGTTCATGAAGACATGCTGCTTCAATACTTGGAGTCTAAGAGTGGGAAGGGATAATGGTAGGCAGTGCTCTGCAATAAATTGCTTGGAATGGAGATAAACCTAAAGATCCATGACTTGTCATGTTTTAAGAAAACTCTGCTTTAGACAGAAATTTCTGATATGAGCTTCTATCACTCGAAGTCGTGCCGCGCGCTAAGGCGCAATAATTCTCCACAAAGCACTCACAAAACTATAGTTATAGTCTGATATAAATTTACATGGTGTTACGTACAAATATTGTAAACTGAAGTCATTCTACTCATTGTATCGATGAAAATGAAAATTGATGTTTAAGAGCTGAAAAATGTGCATATTTGAAAAGGACAGTCATTATGGGTGTAAACGAGTCGAGTCGAGCTCGAGTCATCTCTGACTTGAACTTGAGCTTGATTAATTTATTGAGCTCGAGCTAGCTTGAGCTTAGGCTTTATTCTACGAGTTCGAACTGGCTTACGAGCCGACTCATTTATTTTGAAAAAGAGAAAATTATTCTGATTTAAGCAATTATTATAATAAAATTGTAAAAAGAATGAAAAATTATAAGAATTTATGAGATGAACACCATCATACCATTTATTTTACCCTCAACAACAAAAATATATCATTGCTTGAAAACTTAGAATTTTTTTCCATGTATTCTTTGGATGGGGGTAATTTTAGCAAGCTTGCATCTATATTCGAGTGAAGCAATGGAACCTACTCATGCCAACAACATCATTGGGTTATACATACTTCTATGGTCATTGAACATTTTCGTGTGGGTAGTCCAACGCTTCTTGTCCCTTACCCATATGAATTAGATGGAACGAGCTTGAGTTACAAGTAATTTCTCGTACACTTCATTGTTATTATGTTATTCCCACTCTCATTTTGTAATATGTATCTTGGGTTACAGACAATGAGGTGTAATGAGAAGCATGCTCATAAAAATTTGGCCTATAATATAAAAGTGTATAGATATGTGATTGATGGTTTATTTTATAGTTATGTAGAACACACTTTTAAAAGTACTTTCATTTATAACATTATCAATAATTAATTGAATGATATTTTTGGAACCAATCTACTCAACCATTATAATAAGTGATGAAAATAAAATAGTAGCATCTTTCATGATATGGAAAATATCAACATATTTTAGAAATAATAATCCATGTGGATAATAGACAAGAAAGTTAATGAAAGTTCTATTCATGATATTTGTTCAACTATTATGGGTGTCAATATTTGACATGACCCGAAAATCCTACTCGAACCCGACCCGAAAATTTTGGTTTATGGTCAACCCGAACCCAAAACGGGTCGGGTTCGGGTTCAACATTTCGACCCGTTTCAAAAATTGGGTCGGGTTCGGGTTAACCCTTTGACTCGAAATTGACCCGAAAGCTTGATTTTGACCGGGCAACCCAATTTTGACCCGAAAAAGAGGAGATAGACCCATTTTTTATCCGAAAACTAGCAATTTTTTATTGGAAATGGGTCATTCGGGTCGTGTAGGGTTGGCCCGGACCCGAAGCGGGTTGGGTTCAGGTTAGGAAAATTGACCCATTTTCAAAAACAGGTCGGGTTCGGGTTGACCTGAATAGTGCCGGGTCAATTTCGGGTTCGACCCGAACCCGAACCGTGACTCGAAATTGACACCCCTATCAACTATCATCCATTAAGGTGCATCCAATTTCTTTCAAATAATGTCAGAAATTCTTAATTAGCAACTTACATTCTTCCTTATAACCACTTAATAAATCATATCTTAAACCCTAAACCTAATAAAGAGGTACGAATTGAAAATTTATAAAAAATTTCAAATCAATTGAAATATATGACTTTAGTAATTTGTGTCCACCAATAAAATCTTTAGAGCAGCAAACCCAAAATATCTTTCAAATATTCATCAAAATATAAATGAAATTAAAATATACAAATAAATTTAACTACACTTCTATTATTTTATTACTCTTAAATTATATTTCTTAAAATTTGGCTGATAAAGCAATGAGAACACTTAGAAATTTGAATAAGCTAAATATATTATCAATAAGAATTCATCAAGACAATCAACTTTGTTAGGGAAGTTATAGATTAGTGACAGAACAAATATTTCATGGCACAAAACAATAAGCACCACAACTTTGTAAGGGAATTATGTTGCCTTTGTGTTAGTTTTTAACTAATAAGGGATCAAACATACTAATGTATGTAGACAAAATCAATGATATTTCTAGTGCTTGGTCCATTAATTATATATTTTAAATTAAACTTAGGCTTTATTTAATTGTAGCCCCACAGGGAAATTATGTATGGATTCCGCACAGAATAACTTCTTCATTTGAGAGAATTTTTGGTCAATATTTTTTCGTTTTTAGTAAAATGAAATCTAAAGCTTAAACAAAATCTTTGATTTCATTTGGGACGACTTTCTTACTGATTTTTTAAGTAATTTTTTAATATAAAAATTTTAAGAAAATTATATAAAACAAATACTTTAAAAATAAGAAAATTTTTTCTCAAACGAAATCTTTGTAATAAAATCTAGAGCTTTTTTTGCATTTGATCTTTATATGCAAATGTCATTTGGGTTGACGATATGATTATTTTTTTTATGCAAATAATAAAAAAATTTGCCCATTAAACTGTTAAGTGGGAAAAATTCCGAACGCGTTCAAATTCAAACCAGAAGCCATTATATCACCTAATATATAATAAATTATGTTGGTCAATTATTCATATTGACTATTTAGAGTCACGTTTTCAAAATTTCACCAATTTTTGCGCTCAGCATTGGAAAAAAATTTTGACTGACCTGCGCGGCAGGAAAATGGAGGCACCGGGCACGTCATGGCGTGTTCTTCTTCTCCCAGTCAAACATTCTCCTCCTCTTCTTCCCGTCAAAACCCTAACGTCAATCATTCCCTCCCCCCCTCCCTTCAATCTCTCCCACCCATCCCCTCAATCATGGAACCTATCCTCCAAGGCATAATCGCCGCCGCCGGCAGCTTCTCGGCTATCTTCCTTCTATTCTTCATCGTCCTCCTCTTCTGCCGCCGCCGTCCCCGTAAACCCCTTCCCCCCTTCCTCTCCGTCTCTTTCTCCACCCCTTCCACCGCCCTTACTCTCCCTTCATACGAGCGCAGCTTCGCCTTCGATCCCTCCCTCCCCCACATCTCCCTCTCCGATCTCGCCGCCGCCACCAAAAATTTCTCCCCGGACCGCATCCTCGGAGATGGTGGCTTTGGCTTCGTGTACAAGGCCATCTTTCCCTCCGGCGCCCCCGTCGCCGTCAAACGCCTCTCCCCTGACCTCGCCCCCTTCCAAGGCTTCCGCGAATTTCGCGCCGAAATGGACACCCTCGCCCGCATCCAGCACCCCAACCTCGCCCGCCTCCTCGGCTACTGCATCGCCGGCTCCGACCGCCTCCTCATCTACGAATTCCTCCCCGGCGGCAGCCTCGACCAACGCCTCCACGACCCCAATCCTGACTTCTTTCCGCCGCTCACGTGGTCGTCCCGCCTCCGTATCCTCCGCGGCGTCGCCGCGGGCCTCGCCTTCCTCCACGAGGTATGCCGCCCGAGCATAATCCACCGCGACATCAAGGCCAGCAACATCCTGCTCGACGGCGAATCAGTTGCCCGGATCGCCGATTTCGGATTGGCGCGGTTGGTGGAGGCGTCGAGATCGCATGCATCGACGCAGGAGGCCGCGGGGACAGTGGGGTACATGGCGCCGGAGTATAGAGAGGGAGTTACGGCGGCGACAGCAAGGGGCGATATTTATAGCTTTGGGGTGTTGGTGATGGAGGTGGTGACGGGAAAGCGGCCGAGTTGGCCGGTGAAGAGAGGTGATGGTGAGGAGATGGCGCTGGTGAGGTGGGCCCGTGGAATGCTGGAGGGGGGAAGGCAGATGGAGCTTTTAGATCCTTTGATGGGGAGAGAAGCGGTGGTGGAGGCGGAGGTGAAGGGGGTGTTGGGAGTGGCTTACAGGTCTACGGAGGAGAGGCCGAGCAGCAGACCCTCCATTGGCGAAGTGATCAAGCTTTTGGATAGCTTTTGATGAATTCCCTTAAAGAAGCTATGGGTAATTGTGTTTGTCGCACGAGTAAGCTCATTACTTAGCTCTTATTGCTCAATTTCCTAATAGTTAAGTGTACAGTTTTTTCGTAATTATAAAATAATAGATAGTGTTCTGTGTTGTGTACTCATGCTTTTGTTGTTGGGAGGATTTGTTGGGGTGTTCAGTTATTTTTATTTTTATTTTTTTAAAAGAAAATAATAACTTCATTTCATCCAAAAAACATGATCCGAAAACCCAAAATATTCTCGAACCTCCATGCATGAAACAATTATTACATCCGGTGAAAATACCAAGCATACTGAGTGTATCGAGCGCGGTACCGAGTGTTGTACCGAGCACGGTACCAAGCACTTTGTGACGTGGAGTTTTGTTATTGGTCTCTGGATGTATTCGGTGTCCGGACAGAATAATTACTCCCATGCATGTTCATCCCAAATCTCAATGATATATATTTAACATTTAAACTTCAATACTGCATTACACTAACTTTCATTAATGCCCTTGATGAAGCCCTCGACGACAAAGAGGAATTCACAAGGAGTTACAATGAGTAATAAGAGACAAGAAAGTTGTGACAAGATCTTGCCGAGAAAGTTCATGATTGGCGGTGTTTTAGTACAAAAATTTTTTGAATTATAAAATTTTATATTGAAAGCTGTTTTAGGAAGCAATAAAAAAACTGTTCCAAACGAACCCGAATCTCACTACGGAAGTAATCTGATTAGACCAATGGCGTGCACTAGTGATGGTCAATGGGACTTTGCTTGCAAACGGCAAATACAAATGGCGATGTGGTACGTGATAGATGAGTTCATTAACGAGATTGTAATGAAGAAGATGATAATAGTGTTATTTTTTGTTTTATTTAAAAGTATAAGTGCGACCTAAGTAAATAGTAAAGTATATATAGATGTGGAACATTTATTGAAAGCTGTTTTAGGAAGCAATAAAAAAACTGTTCCAAACGAAGCTTGAATCTCACTACGGAAGTAATCTGATAAGACTAATGGCGTGCACTAGTGATGGTCAATGGGACTTTGCTTGCAAACGGCAACAACAAATGGCGATGTGGTACGTGATAGATGAGTTCATTAACGGGATTGTAATGAAGAAGATGATAATAGTGTTATTTTTTGTTTTATTTAAAATTATAAGTGCGACGTAAGTAAATAGTAAAATATAGATGTGAAATATTTAAATAATATAGTTTTCACTATGTATGTAAATCTTTTGTTTTTTAAAGTTATAAAAAGATTTTATCAAAAAAATCATATGGGAACTTATTACTCAATAGATGACAAGCTGCTTGTGTACCTTCGATTGAAAATAAATTGAAGGATTAAATCTCACATAGTTCGGAGAAAGGAAATTGCAAATGATTATGAGAAAAGATAAAAACAACGAATAGGAAATAAATTAAAATAAAAGAAAAAAACAAATGGTTCATTTGAGAGGAGATTTTTCTGTGGACAAATTTTCAAAAGGAAATAGTTTAATAATTAATTAGGTGAAATTTCTGAGGATGGCCACACCAAGTGGGTCTGGTCAGTGGGTCGGTGGGTTGGGTCGGCACCCATCGGGTTTGGGACGGGTCACACAAGAAAGTCGTTACCTTTTCTCATGATTTCTTATGCGAAAAATTATTTCAGAGTTTTTTAATTTTTTGTAGTATCATTTATATAAAAAAAATAAATCATTTGTATATATTTGTAAAAATAATAAAAAAAAATTTAAAAGAGAAAAACAAATAGTTAAATTATAATTTATTTGACAGTATTTAATATTTTAAAGTGTCATTTATTAAAAAATTCGAAAATATTATTTATAAAAAAACCAGAAAAAATCAAGTCGTTAGCACCGCTGACGCTGACGACTTGATCTTTTCTTATTTTTTTTATAAATATATATAAAAATGTTAATTAAATTACATATTTATAATAAAAAAAATTGTCAAATTAATTTAGATTTAACTATTTGATTTTCTCGAAGTTTTCTTTTTTATTTTTGTTTTTTTATAAATGATATTATAAATAAGTAAGATTATAAACTTAAATATATAGTATTTATTAAAAACAAATTAAATATAAAAAGAAAAAAAGCATATTTGTAAGTTTTTTTTTTTTTAAATTTGATTTTTTATAAATATATATAAATTTTAATTAAACTATATATTTATAAATCATACTATAAATTAATTAAAACTAAAAAAACTAACTTGTCATTAGAACAACTTACGACTTAAATATCTTTTTTTTTTTTTTAGTCCGCTAAATCAGCCCGCCCAGCTCATCCCTCTACCAAATCAGACCGCTCGCCACCAACTCAACTGCCACCTCAATAGGAGAAATTATTAGGTGCGGAGTGCGTTCGGAGACCAATAAAAATGTGCCACATCATCTCATTGGTGGGTACCCAGCTCGGTACCCGCACTCAGTATCGCTAGGTACCCAGTACTTGTGCGGACGATTCTCCCGTCCGCACTCCACACCTAATAATTTCTCCCTCAATAGACAGTCTTTACCTAAGAAGATAATCCGCCCCCAGCTCACCCGCCCCATAGCTAGTCATAGTCTAAAATAAAGACCGGCATCACACTTTGAAATTCAGTTTGATGAAAATAAATTTTAAATGATGAGTTTCTTCTACCGGAGAAATCATTATATGCGGTCATCAGAGTGTCTGGAGGCGAATCAGATGCACCATATCATCTAGTACATAAAAAAAAATAACGTGGCATGTCTTGATTCACCTCCGTACAATATATGGTGACCGCACGAAATAATTTTTTCTTATGCTATGACCACTTTGGTAGAAGTGGGATTTGATGGGGTTGTTGGACAATTGAGAGGAGAATGCATAAAGGGTCCACAACAATGACGATGGCCTTCCTTCCAGTCATAAACCACTTTCAGGGTCAAGGTCTTCCTTGAAAAAAGAATGGGGAATTTTCAGGTAAAGCCGATTAGTATGAAATCTGAATACATATAAAAGCGCATGCAGATTATACTTGTGTAGAAGAGAAACAGAGAAAAAGTAAGAACAGAACTTTTAGCTCACGTATTATATCCTCATTAATTGCATAAGCTTAGAGAAGAGCTACAGTGATGAAGTGTATATATAAGAGGAGAGGATAATTCTAGAAGCTGGCAAAGCCATTAATAGCAGTGAGTAGTGGAGCTGCTAATGTGTGTGAGCCAATCAAATGAGGCAATGGAAATGCTGGAGCCAAATAAGCTTGATGTGCTGCGGTGCAGCTGAACTGGGTTGTTAACAGGGCCCCTCAAATTGACTGTCCATCGGCCGGACAGTTAATTTGTCACGAAGAGTAGAAAACCTGGTGGCTGAGAGGGCTTTTGTAAAGATGTCAGCTGGTTGATCGACTGAGCTGATATGGAATACATCGATCTCCTTGCGCTTGATGTGGTCGCTGATAAAATGGTAATCGATCTCTATGTGCTTGGTCCGAGCATGGAATACCGGGTTGTTGGCGAGAGCGAGAGCTGAGATATTGTCACAATGAATTGGTGTGGGCTGAGATTGAGGAATAAGGAAGTCTGCGGCAAGGCGACGAAGCCAAATGACGTCGGAGGTAGCAGAGGAGAGGGATCTATATTCGGCTTCTGTGGATGACTTTGCCACTGTGACTTGCTTCTTCACATGCCAAGAGATGAGGTTAGGACCAAGGAATGTACAAAACCCTGTAACAGATTTCCGATCTATAGTATCCGCCGCCCAATCTGCATCGGTGTATGTATGAAGACAGAGATCGCCTTTGCGAATTGGCAAGCCATAATGAATCGTCCCTTTGATGTCGCGAAGGAGACGTTTGAGAAGCTTGAAATGATAGGCGGAGGGATTGTGCATATGTTGGCATATGCAGTTGGTTGAAAAGGCGATGTCAGGGCGAGTAATGGTAACATATTGAAGGGAGCCGGCGAGGCGACGATAAAGGGTGGCATCGGTGTATGGTGTGTCGAGGTCCAGGGGCTTGTTGGTTTTAAGGGAAATAGGTGTAATGGATGGTTTACAGGAGGTAAAACCGGCTGATTCGAGGATGGCATGAGCGTAATGGGATTGTTGTAAGAAGATCCCATTATCGTGATGGTGTGCCTGAATGCCAATGAACATTGAAAGTGGTCCGAGTTGTTGGAGGAAAAATTGATTTTGAAGTTGCAACAGCAAGCGTTCAATCATTGTTGGATTGTTCCCGGTGAGTAATATGTCATCGACATATATCAGAAAATAAATCTGGGTGTCCCCTCTTGAATGAATTTCAGCAACGATGGGTCGGACCTGCTAAATGAGAAGCCAAAGTTTGTTAAAAATGATGTTAGCTTTTGAAACCATTGGCGTGAGGACTGTTTGAGGCCATAAATAGCCTTATGTAGACGGCAAACATGCTCAGGATGTTGCGGGTCTATGAATCCTTGTGGCTGCTACATGTACACTTCTTCTTGGAGATCACCATGGAGGAAGGCATTAGCTACGTCAAATTGGAGAATCTTCCAATTATGGTGGAGGGCGACGGAAAGGAGGACACGGATTGTAGGGAGCTTGGCCACCGGGCTGAATGTGTCCTTGTAGTTAATACCAAATTGTTGTGAGTAACCCTGTGCAACGAGTCTGGCCTTGTGACGGACAATGGTGCCGTCAGGGTGTAGTTTTAGCTTGTAGGTCCAGCGACAACCGAGTATAGGCGTGTTGGGAGGTGGTTTGGTGAGGGACCAAGTGCCATGCTTCTGAAGGGCAATGAATTTGGAGGACATGGCATTACACCAGGGAGGTAGTTTTGATGCTTGGTTATAAGTATAAGGGGTGATAAGGGGGTTAGTATGAGCGAGGAGGTCGAAGATGGGTTTGGGGCGAAGATTACCCGTGCGGGAACGAGTAAGCATTGGGTGAATATTTGGGTGAGGGTGTGGAGAAGGAAGTTGGTAGGTTGTGAGAGGTGATTGGGGTGGTACAGATGAGGAGGTGGAGGTGTTAGAAATCGTAGTAGTGGGGGAAGAATGTGTGATATGAGGAGATAGTGTGGGAGGTGGGAGGATTGTGTCTGGGGGTTGAGAAGGAGGATATAAGGTAGAGGGGGTATTAAAAGAGGAGAGTATGGTGAAGGAGTGGGGAGGT